TCTCACTTGAGACATCAGGAACTGCGCTTTAAAGGATAAGATTAGTTGCTGTAACGTGGACGTACTGCGTGAGCTATGAATGAGGATACATGGAGCAAACAAGGGGAGAAGCAACTTATCGTTTTGTTGACGTACCAATTGAATCTTACAAAACCGAAACATGCGATAGATAAAATTATCAAAGTAGAATGTAGAACGTGTAGCATGGCAAATACACTTAAAATGCAAGGGCGACGCAGGCATCAACAGAACGTCAGATATGGAAGGAAGATGAGCAGCGAATATGGTACAAAAATTTGTACATTTTGCTACCAATGAAATCCCAGTATGAATAGATTATGAGAAATGGGAAGAAAGCGTGGCGACAAAAATGTGCCAGAAACAATGTCAGAGGATGGAGAGAGGTATGCTTGCGTCCTAAAAAGACGTTCAAGAGAAGAGAGAGCTGTTTATTGAGGACCATGATCCGAATTCCCTTCAAGTAGTCGGGGGTCAAGCGTGCTTTGCTAGGCTTACCGACAGCAATTTCATCAGCGCGGCTAAGGCGGCAACTACTATTGGGCGTTCTCAGATTATTGGTGTGATAGGTAAGACGGCGATAAGAGGATAAGACGGAAGCTTGATGCAATCCACGCGGTTATTGGTAAGAAGACTTGATACAATGGTCTCGGGGAGAACTTACCTCCCAACGCATTTTAATTACTTTTGTGCGCTTACTTTTTAATATTAGTAGTTGGGAGTTTTACCTTCCACTGCGGCAGCGGAACGGTCCAGTGGGTCAGGGGTAAGACTAGCTACACGGGGCGGGTCAGGGTTCAAAGTAGATGATTATGCGGCGGAGTTGGCCGTAGTACTCCGATTACGGTTAGGGCTGAACCTGGAATAAAACATAACTACGTCAAGTAAATCTCTCGAGATATGCGGATTAAAGACCTAGGGGGTCCAGATCAAAATTGAAATGCACGGGGGAAAAGGGAGATACGATCGCAGGAACGAGAACTTTATTCGCCGGGAGTTTTTAACTCTGTCGTCAGTGACAGAATCTTATCGGTAAAGCCCAGCCTTGGCAGACTGCAGGAATTTTAATATCAATGAACGAAGACTAAGACCACTATG